AGGAAAATTAAATATAGCTATTTCTGAATCCATAGTCTTTTCAGTAGTGTTGTTTTGATAAGGTATATAATTCATCATTATATAGATTTTATAAAATTTATTCTTAACGTTAACATTTATTTTTCAATACGACTAATTTCATATGCAGACATCCAAGATCATTATCCATTTACCATGCGGGAATGGACGAATTAGGTAATATGACACTAGCCTCTTCAATTAAAATCTTTTTTCTTTTGTCCTTTTTGTTTCCTTTTCTCCTCCAATCTATTCATTCGAATTACTCCTCTGCTTGAATCCTCGTAGTTTCCGACACCAGTGATGTCGACTCCTGTTTTCTACTGAACACAGATTGTGCATATCTCTCAGCTAAATGGTGTGTCTTCCTGGGCTGCTTCCTTGGGTTTAGTTTAAGAACAGGCCATGCTCTACGAATGCATCTGGCTAGGCCTATCTGGCGTCTTCTTGCCGGAAGGAATGGAGGGTTACGATGTGCCGATTTGGCACAAATGGATGAAGAGATAGGAGGCGGTACTTCTTCTTCATCTTATCATGCTGGATTGGCCAGCCTTATCAGGTTATTTAACCAACCCAGCAAATTTATATAAATAAGCAAATGTATTTATTTATACTTTTACTTATATTTATGTATACTCTTGTTAATTCATATTGTGTATAATGTAGGTTGTTATTTGAATACATTAATTATTGGATTAGAGTATAACTTGCCAAATTCTAGGGAAGTCTTAAAGCCTTTGCAAATCGCATGATATCTGACTTCTTACAAATTAATTATTTTCGATTATTAATTAATTAAGGTCGAAATAGCGGAAATTCTGTAAAATGAAAGGTATTAAGTGTTGTTGAAATTTTCTCTTATTTTAACATTGTCTTTTGCCATAACTAGGAAATGAAAATCTATTCAGAGCACAAAGCTAGTTCTTTTATCAGATTTTTATGTGTACTTTGATCATTCATTCTTAAGTTGTCTGCTACGTGGGCTTACCTTTACCACTTCTTGTAGATTCCTCTGCCTCTTGTATGCAGAGCACTGAGGTCTGCGGTTTCTGATAAAGCCAAGGATTTTTCTTACTCAGGTGTTATCTTGAACTCAGTATATTGCTAAAGGCTGGGCTCCCTTTGCTCCAATGGTAAATTGCATTTGATCACGGTGTTTGTAGTGTAACGGACCTGCAAGTTTTATCATTTCTTCACTTTTTTATTATGAAATTATGCTTCTTGACGGTTCCCATATATATTTTTTGAACATTTTACATCATCTCCGAGGTGCTTTTTGTGGAATATGAGTTTGATCTTTATACTGAAAATCAATTTTTACCATGAGATTAAAATGGGCTAAATTTTGAAGTTGGTTTTTCTCTTTATGCAACGCTGATATCCTTTACAGTAATTTTTTTTAAATGGTGTTTTATCTGTTTAGCGTGTCTAAGCTGAATGAAGATGAACTCAAATATGCAGAGCTCCCATTCACAGTACTATCTGCCAATGGACGTCACACTATTGATCTAATTCCTTTCGTACGCGAACTGGCCGATTCTTCATGTCCAACGGTGGATGAGGCCACTCTCAACTTCTTCGTTAGCCTAAATTCGATCCACCCTGGTCTTCTTCCATTTTCGTTAGTCTCCCCCGAATGGGATAATGTTCCAATGGCATTATTCGCCCGCCATGCCTCCACAATTTCATTTCCTCGAGGAAATGAAGCTCCTACCAATCAGATTGCATCTACGGTAGAAGTCTTCTGGCGCATGATTAGACGAACTGCACATGACCTCTTGATCGAAACCGCTTGGCGCGCAGCTTTAGTTCTGCAGTCAGGTGATCAATACTCGCAGTTGGGAAACCTCGTACATGTGACACCTGAGAACCGCATCGTCTTTCTGCTTGCAGCTTTCCAATTTAGGAGATCCGAGTTCGACGATGTCGTCCGTTTGGTATGTTAAAATCTTGTACTATTTTGCATCCTATTAAATATAACATAAACAAGGTGAAAAACTCTTATATAGTTTATTATTTTAAACAACACACTTACTTGAGCCTTGATAATGTAAATATTTTCGTATCAACTAGAATATTTTCTTTTCCTTTAGGCATTTGAAGGACTTCGAATGCCTCGTTTCTTTTAAATATTGGTTTGACCTAATTTCTGCAACTTACAGTGAATATTCAAGATTCTACCCTATTTTCTGCCCCAAGTTTTGTTCCTCCAGAATACAGCCATTCACTGCTTACATTACATTAACCAAAGTGGATATCTACGCTTTGTATCTAGCCTTGACTTCGCATTCCGTTATGGGCGTTGATGAAGCGACGCTTAAACTACAGTCCATCCTGCAAGAAAAAACTTGAGAAGAGATGCTAAGCGAAACTCATAGCTAGCAGGTATCGAGATTTTTATTAGTTCTTGAATACGAACTATGTTCATCCTAGATCTCATAAGATAATGAGTTATTAATATTTCGATTTTAAACAATGATATGAGCAGCTCTCAAGATTCCACTGAAGTTCATTCAGCCCCGCTTCCCAAAAGGTTCTTCAGAGTGGATTGCAGTCTACGTCGCCTGGGTCTTATCCGCACCTATAACAAGAATCGAACACTGACAATGTAACTTATATTTTCGACGCGTTATAACTACGCCACTACCACGGATGATAGTGGATCATAGAGTAGACGCCACTGAGTACAAGCCAGGCCTTTCCTATGAAGCTTTTAAAAGTTGACTGTCGACTAAAGTCAATGGCATCGTGAGGTCTACTCATTTGTTTGCAATTCTTATAGCACCTTAAGAGAGCTATAGCAACTAAGCTTGTTACCGACACGTCTTGACCAATAATTTTTTCCATTAAAATTGTACTTTTATATTTTAATTAAATAATTTCAAATTCACTTATACGAATGATTCATTTTGAGATCGAACAACTAAGCGCTTTCTGAATATACTTTTTTTCTGGTCTCTGAGTTTTGGTTGTCACAGATAGGCCTCAATAAGTATTCATCGTCATTTCTCTTTTTTAGCATAAGGGTCTTGCCTTGCTGCATCATTCGTCATTCTAGCAACCAATCAACCCTTTATAATGATAAATTGAATTATATTTGCTGATTGATAACTATTTTATTTTATATTTCTTTTTCATCCTGGCCTCATATATACCGAGTTTTCAGTCTATACTTAAACACGCCTTTCATTTATGTGATTAAATGCTTTTGACTAAGCTTTTTACGCTTAATCATATAAGACT